ATATTCACTATGGATAATGGATGCTTATTATATTTAATAATTCTACTACCGAGCTCATCAGGACGTTTCTCAGTTTACTTCAAAATTTAGATATTTTTGAGTGGGTAATTTAAAATGTTAAGTCAATCATAATTTGTGATCTGAAATACTGGCGATTAGAGGTGTCAGCCGTACGGCTGAGCCGCCGCAGCAGCCGATTTTTCAATAATATCAGCCACCGCAGCCACCAAATTAGTAGTAATTTTAAGAATTTTGGGGGAGCCGCCGCTGCGAAAAAACAAGTTTAGCCGTTGCGCCGCGGCAAGAGATAAAAATTTTTGATAGCGTTATTTTCCGCCGCTGACATCAATACATATGCGATCGAATCGAACATTTTTCTTTTAATTTTCGTCAGTGAATTTTTAAATGAGCCGTCGCCGCCACATAAGGACTCACAAATATCAGCCGACGCCGCCGCTGTGAAAAAAATTTTAAGAATTTGTAGCAGCCGCCGCTGAAGACATTACTCATTCAAATAACGAGCCACTGGAAATCTTCAAAAATTGAAAACTGTTGCCCGCCGTCGCCGTTCAACCCTTCGGCTGACACCTCTACTGGCGATAACTAATAGAGAAAGACATTTAACTTAACATCTAAGCATTTCGCATGCAGCTAGCAATGAAAGGTTACTTTTAAAAAGTAAATTGATGAATTAGTACGAAAGCGAAAACTTTTAAGAGCCTGAAACTGAGATAAAAAAAAGTCACTACTTCTTATATATTTTCTCAAACATTGGCATATGGAAGTTGTACATTATTGAAATATCTCGAAGATCTACCAATAGTCAACATTACGTTCTCATATTTTAACTATCAAGAACTCGAAAACATTTTAAAATATTAAAATAAATAATAATAAAATTCATTTTTTCAAAATTTCATTAAATATATGTTTAAGACACGTCGATAAGAACCTTCTATATATGTTATTTTGAATACAGTCACAACGCTTATAAAAACTAGAGCGATATGAATTTCTGCGAAATATCTTCATCAAATGAATGATAGAATGTGCTGCTTCTATTTATATTTCTCTTCTCTTCTCTTCTCTTCTCTTCCGTGACTAAGAATAACTGTTTATAAACAATAAATATGGTTATTATTTATGTAAATTCTACATATACCTTTGTAAAATAAATAGTGCTGTATGTAACTTCTTGCTAAATAACAGGTTCATCTTTTTTGTAACTTTTTATTTCATGGATAGATAACTATTTTTTTGTTGTCATCGTTGTTTTCTATGTCAAGTTTCTCTTGCAATGTATATTAGGTATGTATCTAAAAGAGTGCAACATTGTTTTGTACATTGCTTCGTCGTATTGTTTATTCTACGGATTTAACTTTTTATTATATATACTTAGTATCTCTTTTTTTGTGATCAATATTCTATGAATTTTTGTATATTTGTAATTAAACTTTTGTTTTCATACTGACTGTCATAAACATGTGATGTATTATAAAAAATAAATTGAATAAAACGATAAGTACAAAACAAATGTTATCGATGTGTAGATCTACATCGTACTGTAACTGTACATACAGATGTTGATGATGTTATTTTAAACATTAATGGTGACCACTGTCATCCATGTGAATCAGAATAAATACAAGTTCCAAAATTTAAACAAGCTATGAAAATCTGTGCTATAAATGAAACAATGCCTATCCCTCAAATTTATGACGAAGAAGCAGCACGAATTGATCTATCAACATTATCAATTGCTTCTTTACTATCTCAGAGAGAAACTAGTCAGTGAAAACTTTATTTTCTTTTATCTAAAGACTTTTTTAAGGTAGTACATTAAATAGAGCACGTCGTCTTCAAGCATCTCGTATTTCTGATTCCCAAATATTTGACATTTGAGAATCTTATACAATAACTTTGAAGAATCAACCTTTCCTATGTATTGATCAGAATATATAATAAAAAGAATAACACGAATTTGAGTCGTCATGATAATGGAGATGTTACTAGTAATAAACTTTCAGAAGGATTATCATTTATCGTCGAGAAAAATATTAAATCAAAAAGAAAATGAACAATCATAATCATTATCTTTTCCATGTGATATTCACCTTTATTTTATATTTAGTTAATAAAATTCTTAACAACTGCGTGCACATTGTTTTATTTTCAGAAATTTTAACTTTCGATATTTTTCCTTTGGACATTTTCTCTTCGCCATTTTCTCTTTTGACATTCTTTCCTGTCTATATTTTATTATCTATATTTTTCCTTTCTTCCTTTCTCCATCCATTTCCACACACCACCCATGCGCACTCTCAAAATAAACCATTTTGGAATGTTAGCGGTTGATGTCATCGATCTATAACTGATAGTGTCCTAATGTAAGTGGAAAGAACTGTCAATGCGAAAAACAACAAGGTGCTTATCTCTCATGCTCGTCTATATGTCTGCAATCGAGACAACGACACACACTCGACTCATTTTGCCTTTTTTGGGCTGTTGAATGGTTCGTTCTTGTTTGCTTTTTTATATTAATCTAGATCTCTGCTGTATATCCAATATTTGTGTTCGATGAGGATGATGTGATCTTCAATTGATCAATTTCAACAAACATTTTCTTTTCTTTCACGTAGAACATATGAAATAATAATCGATTCATGTAAAAGATATTCTTTTCTGAAAAGTTTCTTCGCTAAACCAAGCTGATCTATACAATACTATCTATATTATAAGTCTACGTCTATTCCACCCAAAAATTGGGGCTCTTTGTGAATATATTTCTATCTTCTTTGTCAAATAATGTCCACAGATAATTTTCTCGTGGAGTATGTCATAAAGTGGTAGTTTTTTTGAGAGCATAGGTTCACACGATCTAATAAACAGGGCGTATATAAGCATATTTATGATAATAGCCATTTGAAGAGATTTTCTAGGTTCAGTGTCTAGCAAATAAAAGATAGATGAATCTATAGACGTATTAAACAGCTCAGAAATTAATATGAAAGTCAATAGATACGATATTGAAGATGTCATTGATTTTTAGAGTAACATTCATTTTCATCGTTTGTAAAATTCATTTTGAAAGATGTTTTATGTTATTAAATATTCTTGTGAGAATGTTTTATTTTGTATGTATAAATGATATCGATTCAAATATTCAATCATGAGCAATTTCAACGCCATCGTGCAAACAATATCAATCATAATTGTGCTGTTCTTCGTACCTGCTAGTACGTATTACAGTTGTCATATCAATGCAAAACTATTATTCTTCATTACTTTCTTTTAGTGGCTAGATGGAACAGTAGTCATGCAAACAGTACTCAATACGTGATTAATTGGTCAGGCTATAAATGGTATATAGTTCATGCTCAGAGTAGTGTTCCAGGTATGTTTCTACTTCTAGAATTCAAGTTAGCTTTTTCATGTCGTAATTCTATTTGTGAAAGGTTCAAATCATTGGAACGCGAGCAACGTGTTTGTTGATTCGAGAGGCAGGTTACATCTCAAAATAACTCGTTCGGTGACCACAGGTGAATGGGATTGTGCCGAATTATTCTCTGACGCCAAATTTTTCTATGGCACCTACCGATGGAAAGTGCAAGGAAGACTTGATCTCTTAGATCCGAATGTTGTACTGGGTCTGTTTTCCTATAGTGGTCCTAGTGGATCCAATGAAATAGACATTGAAGTTTCAAAATGGGGACAACCAGTTCATCATCCAAAACATATTTACTATACTGTGTATCCTGGAAATGGGACTGCAAAACAACGTGTATCTTTAGGGGCATCACTCTCCCTTAACGGTGCATATACCACTCATTGGTTCACATGGACACCACCCAAAGTTATTTTTGGTAGCCAACATGGATTTCAAAATACACCGAATAAACTGAAATTTCTCTCCTATGAAACGCCATCAAACTTTACTGAAGAGATGCCAAAAATAGCTAATCGCCTTCACATGAATCTTTGGCTATACGAAAGTGTTCCACCAGCAAATCGTAAAGCAGTCGAAGTGATTATTCACGAATTTACATATACTCCACATTAAAACAAGCTTCATCCTTATGCACTTATGATATACATAACAATCCTGAATTTTCATCATTAGTAGACATAGATGTTTTGCATGAACCCAATAAAAAATGTTATCAATTAAAATTTAAAAGTCTTAGAATGACACTTTATATTATCAATCCAATTATTCGACAGAAAAATTAAAAGTAAAATTGATAAAACTCAGAACAAATCAGGATATTAATTAATATTTTGAAATAATTACTACGCGATGGGGTTTCATGTGAGAACTTGATACTTGATCACGGTGTTGTTTTTCAAATTGCCGTTGAACCATCTTAATATTGAGTTGGATTTTACAGTGCAACACATCTTCTCCAACTGCCAGAGGCTTTCCTTTCTTAAATCGATCAAGATATTCTACGAAGTGTTCCTGTTCGAATTCGAGTAGACCGTATTTATTTAACACAACTGCTCGATCGACACCAGAGCCTGATTTGTCTAAAGTTGTTGCAGAATATTCTCTTGCAGAATCATAGTCCTCGTATTTTCAATACACAAGACCTATTTTTGTAGAGAATTTGCCATCCTCGGATCAAATCGTTGTGGGCAAAAAATGGCCCCGCTTGGCTGGAAGGATTTGCATTTTGTGTTTCTGTGAGTTCGATTAGCTTTTCTGCCTCTAGCAAATATTTCAGTGCCGTCATGTATTCACTATGATCATTAGTTAGCATGACTTTCTGAAATAGGACATCAAGATGAATTTTATCTGTAACATTTTCTTCTTTTAGCATACGCTGATAAAAATTATTAGTGTTCACATGGTCACCAAGCTCACGCAAAAATTTTCCGGCTGTTAAATATGTACATTCCTGTCTAGACTCTTCAATATCAGTAATCAGTTTAGAATCATACTCTGCACATGACTGAAGAACAATAAGTCAATAATCTTCACCCTTTTCTTCTATCGATGCGATTTTCTAAACGAAGCCCATAAAAAATAAAACTTCATTCTCATCTGGTATTGTACTGTAAGCTGTAATATTACCGTACGGTCTAATCAATGTTGGGTGTGGGTGAGATTGAGACTGAATTGAAGTGATGCGCCTACAACCGCACCCACATCCACAACCCAGATTACGATAGAACTGACTTTTACGGGTGTAGGTGGGTGGGTATAAATGCCACGTTACTCTAGTCATTTTTCTTGCATATTGTTATGATGCAGTCAATTGAGTTGCAAAATTAAATGAGATTTTAGAACGAGTTTTTCAGAATAATTGAGTTGTCATTCATGTGTTTGAAAAATTTTGTCAAGAAAAACAATAATTTTTAAAAGATGCTTTTTATGAGAGTATCCATGATCACATCAAGAAATTAGGAAAGTATAGATAAAAATCTTTGGAATGTACCAATAATCTGTTGAAAATCAAATGTTCTACATTGACACAATTTCTGCGTGTTGCATCACGAGTAAAATTTTCTGTTACAATTACTAAATGTTCATAATGACTATTAAGTTCAACAAGATGTGGTAAACGTGTATTCGTATCGATAAGAAATTGCTCCATATAATCAATACACCTCGAAGAGATACGAAGATTGGTCAAATGAGGAAATTCAGCAATCGATGAGATTTGATCAGTTGTGTTTAACTGAGATGTTCGTTTGTGTTGTTGTGGTACTATGTTTAAGACAAATAGATTAGTAAGTAATGGAAAGCAACGACTAATTTTCAAGAAGAAATCGTGCTCAAATGGAAATTCAATATCCATCAATGATATATCACGAACACCTGAAAATAATCCTCCAGGAAAATTTCTACTGATATTGAGAAGATCATTTAATACATATGGAATCGAATAGATATGAGATTGAGCCTTTCCACGCGAGTAAAAATCAACATAATAGGCGAGTTTATGGCTTTTTCCATTGTAGAATGTATGTTGAATGTTGTTGATTGTCTTTCGACTTGTTCCATTGAATGTTTTGATGAAAGTTACAATATTAAAAGTTAATGTTTGAAGTCGTGGCATATGAATGAGAACTTCATTATTCAATTGTGTTGCATCAATGAATGTCAATCGGTCACAAACGTTGAGACGTAATGTTAATTCGTCAAGAAATATCATTCGACGAAGAAGTACAACTACTTGACTATCGTATTCGCTTGTTTCATTATATGAACTAAGTGAGAAATTCTTCAGATTCGTTAAAATCTTAAATAATCACGTAGAAACTAAGAGGATCTTTTATTTTGTAACTCTAAATCAGTATTCTTACTCGATTTTCGGTGATCAATTTGGAAGGATAGATGTTACATACTCGAACGACGAATCTTCGTAAATAATTCAGACGGTCGTCAAGTAAACATAAACATTCATCAAATGTATCGACACTAATACGCAAATGAACAATATTCGATGAGAAACAAATCATTGAAGATGGATCAATTATTTTCAATCGTGGACAATATCGTCGACGACCAGTCGAGCCGAAATCTAATTCAGTTAAATTTTTGAATAAAGAAAAGATGCGAGCAAAAACATTCGTGGTCAAATCAATCAATGATGATAATGACCGTTCTGGATCAATGATCGAAATTTTTAGATGAGTGATTTGTTCATTAAAAATTTCAGTAAAAGGAGACTCATCTAAACACAATAACAAAATTCTAATCATAGTAATATATATTAGAACATTTTCTTACCAGTAAAATGACGCAATGCGAATTCTTGATCAATGTTGATGATTGTGAGCTTTCGTAAATGATGATAAGTACCAACAGAAAGAACTCGTTCCATTGAGATTGATTCAAGAGTGAGACTTTCAACAAATGTATGTACTTGAGGTAATATATATGAACAAAAACGATCAAGTATCGGAACAGTCATTAAATGTTTATGTTTAGAATTTGAATTTATTAATTCAATAGACTGGATGTAGGTTTTGTCAAAAACCAATCTATTGAATCTTTGATGAACGCCCACAAATGAGTATAGTACGTCGATTTTACTCAATTTATTCCAAATAGCTAAAATCATTTCGTCGGGAAGGTCCATGATGTTAATATTTATACGACTCATGTTTAACTTGAATAGATTGTTGTTAATGAATAGAAGGCGTGTGCGATGGTTATATATTTGTTCAATACAAAGAGCACACGACAACGGACGGATAAAAACAAAAGATTCAAATATCCAATGAAAAGATAGCCTGCATTTAATGCAGCTGAACATTCAAGCCTCTATAGCAGCCAGTAGGATCAAAATTGAAATTTTCAACTTTCAAACTTAAAATTTAACATAGATAACTTTTGATAAATATATTAGGACAATCGATTACTACCATAGCATTCTTCTTGTTCCAATTATCATATCATATCATTACAGTTAAAATTAGACAAAAAACAATTCTTTCGAGAATAATACAAGTGCTAATAACTTCTAATCATAGCTGTCATGGAGTGCACTCGTCGTATCGATGGTAATAGTTGTGAAGCCTGATTAAAAGCAGTATTTTGAAGTACTTGATGTTGTTACTAATGTTTCGAATTTGATTTAACAAGTTTTAGATTGTTATGTGATGTATTGAATGATACACTTGATGAGATAGATGATCGTATATGATTAATTATGGAGTTTTGCAATGGTAATGTTATATGATTTCTGACATTTTATGATTAGTACAGAATAAATAAAGATTAAACACATTACAAAGATGTCGACCATTTGTAAAGTTTTGAATTTAGTTGATATTGCTAGATATATGATTTCCAGAATATTAGAAGCTAAGTAAATTTTAGTTAGCAATACCTCCGTAATCGCAGCAACCACTGAACGGACATTCAATGTTCTCAATTGAGTAGAACAAGCATTTTGAGTCTCTTAGCACATTTATATAAGGGAAAACTTGATGGAATAGATTCAAATTAAATTGTGCCAACTTTTTTTTATTGTTAAATGAGAAAAGAAAAGTTTTTTTTGTTAACTTGTTAGTTTGCTGTAAAAGTGGAATAGAAAATGTTTTTGTCAACGAAGGCATTTACAAAAACAATTAATGGGCTTCAACAGATTTGGAAACATTCTACCACTCTTCCATTAATTCATGTAGCTATTACGATCAGTACTACAGATGTACACGAGACCAAAAGAAAAAATTCTCTGATCTCGATCACAAATTCACTTGATGTCTGTCTCATTACTTTAATTGCTATGCTATTGTTTGACCTATCTGCCAGTATATTTCAAAGCTTCATACTAGCTTTTATTATCCAATAATTTAACAAATACAACGATCGGTCCCCATAAATCTTGTTTTGGTCGGTTTCTTTATTAAATTAATGAATAGCAAAAGTTTTCAAGGAAATTTAAAATATAGAGACAGACAGCACAAACATTACTCTATAAAATTCATGGTCAAACCATGATATAACAATTAAAGTAATGAAATAGTAAGCTAATCTTAGATTAAGACTAGAAAATTTTGTTTTGGTTCTGTATAAATGTATAATCAGTATACATTCTTCAAATATCTTACTCAAAAGAAAGACGAGCACAAAAATATAACAAGGAGCAAACGTGAGAATATGGTGTTGTCTCAGTCTGATATTCAAACCAAGTTTGATAATGTAGCCGAAAAAAGGACTTGAATGTAAAATTCATGTATATTATTTAGTCTCATTAAATTAATGAAAAATGCATAAAGTAAAACATATCTGGAAAGTAATATTCTTTATTTCGAGACAATTGATCTTCAAAGCAAGAATCTCTTTTGTTTATTTCTACATTTTCAGGAGATTTTTTGCGGGTGCCCTATTTTTTTTTCTTTTGTATTGTTCTTATTCTTTCGTTTTTTTGTCTCTTAAATGAACATTATCACTATTCTAATCATTGACTCACAAAGAGGGCGATTATAAATTTTCATTATATTGACAGAAAGTAGAGAAATGCTATTATAATTAAATTGTGATCACTTCAAAAACACTGATATTATATATTTTCTCGAGTTATAATTTGATCAAATAATGCGTTCTATGTTGATAATATGAGAAATGTAGTAGATCGGTGCATTATCGCTCATGATTAATGACTTCTTAAATGAAAATTTTTATCTGAACAAAAATTAAGAATGAATTCTAGTTATTCAAGTTACGTCCAAAACTTTGAAGTAATCTAGATATTTCTATTCTAGATCGTTAAGGTTTATAATAGAAGAACGAGGGAAAGATACGAAAACTCTACCTTAAAACGTATTGTCAAGTATACTTTCTTCGAAAATAAACATGAGTTTTACGATGTTCATGGGTATTATATCACAAGACAAAATGGCTAGTGAGTTTGTTTTGTTTAGTTTACAGATGAAATTAATAGATAATAAATTTAAAAAAAAGATCACTAAATATAGAAAATACCATTGAAATATACATGTAATAATCAGTAAATGTATTATTCACTAAGATTTTAGTTTATTTCCTGTTGCGAAATTTGTGTTATAAGCATTTTTTTGTATGAATAGATACAAAAAGTAACTTTTTTTCTTCAATTAGAAAAACGAAAATTTTACTCTTTGAAGTAGCTGAGACATTGGCAATGGAACGCAAATACCTATGAAAAGTCTTCATAGTACCAGAAGTACCCTGCCATTCTACAGTAACGACAACAAAAACAAGTCATTTTGAAAGATAAAGACATGAATAAATTATATTAAACTATAAAATAGAATGATTTATTTATTTTCTATCACGCTAATGTTATTCTTTAACACTTGTTATTTCTATTTCAGACAAGAGTATGTAAATATATAATATTCATACACCAACATTCATTTATAGATCAATCAAGAGTATGTTTAATTATTGAAATGAATAGGAAGTTAAGGGCAAAATTGATGCTTCTTGAATTTGTGTTGATCGTACTGAATTAAGAAAGACCGAAAAAGTTTATTTGGTGAGAATTACATTTAACTACAAAACTATAATTAGGCAATACTACAATTTATTTTATTTGAACCTGAAAAGAAATTGTTTAGTATAATATAAATTATTGTGCTTTATCCTCAGCTTTCGCCCTTGTTTCCTTGATCTCTTCGTTGAGATCTTCCAGATCTGCTTCCAAGCTGTCGGCAATTTTATTTTGTACAGCTGCATCCTCATCATTGTCAGCCTCTTCACCTTTTTTCAGCTCTTCATCAAGTTGTTTCTCCAATTCCTTTTTTTCCTCTTGTAATTCCTTAAGCTGCAAGATAAAAATCATAAAATGCACAATTCTAATAAGAATAGTCAGATCGGTAAAAGTTACCTCTTCTTTCGCCTCTTCTTTTTCGATCTTTTCAACTTGTGCTTGTCGTGACATGAGTGTAGTTTAAGTGTTTTATCAGAATTTCCTTTATTAAGAATGAATGAGAATAAAAAAAAACAACGGATGTTAGAATCGTTCTTCTCTTATCAAATGCCACATATTTTCTTTTCCTTCGAAAAAATATCTTGGTTTGGTTATTCATTGAAAAATGCGTACAATCGACAGAAAATGCTTCTGTATTGAAAGTACTATATTTGTAACATAAGCAAATCAAAAGCTTAAAACTCACAATTTTTTGATGAAATAAGAAAGAATTTAGAAAAAGCATTTTTTTTCAGAGTTATCCAACATGACTGGTAACAAATCCTTTATTTGTATTCTTTTTCAAATCGACCTATGCTTTATTTTCATTATTTGTATTTACTTAGAAAGAAACTCAGTACAAGAAATGCATGGCGTAGTTAATATGGAAGTACAAAAGATAGTGAATATCGAACTCTTCCAATAAATTCGCATTTCATTCAAAAATATATATCTATGCAAAAGTTTACCAAATAATATGTCATGTATAGGAGTTGCCCATTACCACTGCTTATTATCAATTATACACAAATAAGGTGGCATAATTACTTCTAATCATCGAATACATTTCCCCTTTCCGAGGTTGTTCGAGAATGACTCATCAAAAACGTTTTACATGTCTACAGCTGATAGATATCGATATGTAGAATAAAATTTGTCATGGACTCAGCATTCGCCAATGCTTTTTTCTAGGAGATTCTGGAATCAAAATTATTTAAAAAATATCCTTCCAGTCATAGTAAGCTGTATAGATTTCGAGCTTATTTACATATACTAGGAACTATGTATGGGTGTGGGCGTGGCATGCACGTTTTCTAGCTTTATACTCTTCTACACCCACACCCTTTTCAATTAATTTCTTTGATTTTTCACTGTCAATATAAAAATAAAAATTCACTGTTGAAGTTTCATATCAATTTTTTTGCTTTCGAGAGAGATTAGGAATGTTTTATTTGAGAATAATGAAAGACGAACAGAATTTATTTTTGATTTATTTGAAACAAAAATTCAAAAATCTACATGAGTCTATTCGAGAGAAAATTGTTGAACACGATGATTGTTATGATCAACGACATAGAGATTACCATGTCGATCGAAGGACAAACCCATGAGCCAGTTGAACTGATTTTGTCCTGTTCCTCGTCCATTTCCACCCACGATCACAGTGCCTTGGTGTGCTCGTTGAGACCAACGTACTACCCGATCATTTTTTGAATCTGCGACATAGAGAGTGCTCAACGCATCGACGAAGATTCCTCGAGGAGACGCCAATTGCGTTAGAGCATTTCCTTCACCTTGACCTCCAGCGACGACAATGCCTGCTTTTGCACCTTGCTTCCATTTCATTACACGATGAGTGTCGCTTTCGGACACGTAGACAGTCTGTTGTCGATCGACAAAGAGATATCTCGGCATGTTGAGTTGATGTAGGCCAGCACCTCTCCCATGGCCACCTGCCACGAGAGTTCCATTCTTGTCTCCTGCTCGATATCGTCTTACCTCATGCTTTTTGTAGTCAGCAACATAGAGGTATCTCTGATCATCTTTGGCTAATCCATAACAGTCGATGTCGTCCAGAAGAATTTCTCCTTCAGTTGTGTCAGTCTTACGAAGCCATCGTGCGACTCGTCGATTCTCTCGATCACAAATAATGAAACTATCTGTCTCTTTATCGATCAATACATCAGTTGGACAATGCAATTGATCCAATCGATTTCCAGCGCGATTACCACCAGCAACAATTTGTCCATTCGCCTCACCTTTCTTCCATTGAACGATACGATGACTGTCGCAGTCAGCTATGGCCACTGTTTGATCTTCATCAATGCAGAAACCATAAGGCCGGTTGAGTTGATTAGTGTCAGCACCTTTTCCGTTTCCTCCAGCAATAGTGACGCCACTCTGTACCCATCGTTCATTGGCTAAAATATTGAGCATAAATAAAAGAAGCGAACAAAATTCAAAGAGATTCTCGCCATCTCTCTAGTGAGAGGAATTTTCTGAAAAAATGATCTGTTGACAAAGAGGTAGTTTAAAGAGTTTCACCTAGCGTGGATATCAATTTGAGCAAGCAGTTCATGATGTATCTTGAGGGTGTGGGTGTGGGCATGCACGTTTTCTAGCTTTATACTCTTCTACACCCACACCCTCATTATTGTAATATTTTTACTATCTTCACCCTGTTTGTATTATTATGAATTAATACTATATAGCTTAAAACATAAAGCGCTTCGTTCCTGATTATACATGCGTATGCTATTAAAAACAAAGCTAAAACAAAACACATTTTTTTAATTGTGAACTTTTTCGATGACATCGAATATTAAATCTAATAAGATAAATTGATTCTAATTTTATTCTCTAAAACTATACAACAACTCCTCAATCAAAATAATACATGTATTTGTTGATACAGTAATAGCATAAGTAAATACGAATGGATGGAAGACGAAAGAAAGGAAAAATATCGAAAACTTCACCCCACTCTTACATTTATATTTTCAGCCCTCGATTTTGTTTTCGATATTTTCTCATTATTATACCATCATACAGACGATTTCTAGTCGATGTACCAAAAGCATCGAAGAATGCATATTAGCATAACTAGTCAGAAAAAACATATGCACATTATATATCACAACACTGTATTCATTCAACATACTGCATGGTCTGAATCTCGATACCTTCTCGGTAAGAGTATAATTATGACTGTGTATGAGTTAGCTTTTCTATGTCAGCTACAAAACACCTGCAACCTATATACTTATTTATGGGCACAGTCGGCAACAAAATGCAATGGAAGATGTATTGATTTTTCAAATGTAGTTTCTCACGCCTTGATCATTTTACTTATAATCGCAGGATTTTCTCTTCTACAAATTTAAGTAGTTAAAACGACTATTCCCTGTATAATAGGACTAACAAAAGTACTCATTCATAATTTAGAAATAGCTTTCTCTGTCATGAAAATACCTTTTTCAATTCGATAAAGGCGATTTTCCATTTGATCTATTGTCGAATTCGTCGCATTCGTGCTTTGTTCTGTCTTGTTTATTAATTGACTTTCAATTGTATTTATTAACATTTTTGAGCTATTAAAGTAGTCGAACAGCTTTTGACTGAGGTTTGATTCAGATGAAGCTAGTTTTTGATTAAGGCTTGATTCAATGGCGTCGATTGACGATTCCATCACTTTCAAACTTTTCGTTAAATTCTTGCTCAATTCCTCAACAACGTTTGATAAACGATGGTATTTTTCTGCAAGCCAATCGTTTGCTAAACGACCACGACGATATTCATATGGACAGCGAAGTGGTAACGTATGTAGCTTTGTTCGAGTTTTAACATAAACCATATTGGAAAACAGTTTCGTACTAGATTTTAACGAGCCAACTTTAACAAGCGTAACATCGATGGGTTTCGGTTTTATGATATCACCTTCTATTTCCAGATGCTCTGACAAAAAGTGAACTAACTTTTCAGCATCCTTCCGTTGCAGAAGAACTGTTGAACTATTTTTTCTTTCATTATTCGTGCTGTTGAATCGGTTCATATCGGTTTTGTTGTGAACTAGACCATCATTCAACGAATTTCTACTGTCCGTATTTTGGTTATGAACATTGACATCCACATCGACTTTCATGTTTGCCGAGCCAAGACCTAAGAAACTACCACCTGCTTCAGTTCCGAAATGAACACCAACATCGGATTTATGTGTGGTATTTTGAGATTTTGTTGCCAGATGTTTTTGTAAGTGGTCAAAGTTTTGTTTATCCTGAAGTTTTAAATCTTGTTTTGAAGCTTCGTCTGCCTGTGAAAAATCGTAGCGAAATTTATCCGAGTCCGTGGCATCTTGTTTCAGAATTTTATTCAGTACTTTCGCCAACCGATCAGGCCGTGTTAACTCGGGTGTCCAATAGAGCGAATCCCACAGATGATCGTTGACTGTTGTCAATCGAACTTGTTTATATTGCAATTGACGATCCAGCAGTCGATCGATGCCAACTGGATCTTGCATATCTTCATAACCTTCTTCAACTCGTATATTCATCTTGATTTGATCCATGGTTTCACTCAAGAGATTTTTATAGTCATCCCCAGTCAAAGCCACTGTATCTCGATTATTTTCAGGAAATTGCGACTTTATTTGATTGTACATCGATGTTTTCGTTACATGTTCTGTGGTAACTTCTAGAGTTCTAGATGTTGTCTGTTGACCTTCTAATGAGTAGTGAACTTCAAAATTCGATACACGGCAATGTGAGGTGATTGAATGTTTTAAACTCTCACAAATGGACATGTTATACGTGTAGAAGATGAATTCAACCATCTGTCGAAGTTGTGTATTACCATGCCATCGATCATCTAAAGTGAACTTTTTGCTAGCTTCAACTGTTCGAAATCCTTTTTGAAAAAGACGAATGGAGTGCATCGGTACAAGCGAAACGTCGCAACGCTCAGTATGACAAATATCTTGACGTTTTTGAATATGACGTTCAATGAATTCGGTTAAATTCGTTGTATAGAGAGAGACAACCAATGTCAGTTCTGTACGGCCACTGAATTCATCGTCATGACATTCAGTTAAATTTGGCTCAACATGTGGGAACGGTGTAAAGAAGAAATCAGATAATTTTCGTTGGTTTTGTAGTAGAATGACTTCTCCATCCTGATATTTAAATCGACCGGCATTAGTTGTTCCAACAATCTCTTGTTGTATATTTTCATTTTTACTGGATGTAATATCACCTTCGCTCAAAGAACGGTTCGAATTGTATTGTGTAGCAGTACTAAAGATCAGCAACAAGATGCCAAGAAAAAAGTATCCAGAAAACCACTGCATTTCCTAAAATTAGATTAAAATGTTCTTTTCGTTCGTGCTTTTAATAAATCTGCACAAAATATTCATATACATCAATTTGTCTGAAAGAAATCGACTTAGCATCAAAAACAAAATGAATATCATGCAATACTTGACAGATTATCTACTTTGTTTGAGTTTGTCTTTACAAGATTGAATATTTTCGGATGTCTAAAATTGTAGATTGAAACAAAGAAGCATCCTATTGATATTTTTACACTAAACGGATGCATACTGTTATGAAACAAAGATCCGAAATGCGACATTTTCCTAGTTAACTTTTAATTGAAATTGAGTTTTTTTTTCTTTCGTATATCTATGAACTAAAATCAATAACTCGATCTAGCATGAGTCTGATGCCCGAATTCACGTAACTATTTGAGTTTTGATATAGTTACGCTTTTCTCTTTTCACTTCTGCATATTCTAGTGTTCAATTTTAATGACTTATTTTTGCTTCTTTTTTATGATCTTAACTTTCTATAGAATGGCCAGCTTCATTAGGAACATATAACCCAGTCTATCTACAATGGTACTGATGAGAGAAGTTGTTAATTAGTTCGAATTCATGATAGGAAATTATATCGCACGTGGCTAGCTTCTCATATAAAACAATCAAAGCTCTGCCCAATTTAATAACTATTGAAGCGCTCTGTAATTAGTTAAAACGTACTTCAATAGAAAAAAAAGAGAATAAATCGTCCGTAAGAAGAGAGTCTCAAAACAATGCAATACCGTAATTCAAATACTAAAAATTCGGTACGACTTTTAATAGTACACTTCTCTCTAAATAATAATATAATTCAAATCGGTTACTTATTTACAGGTTTGATTCGTGTGGTTGAAATCTATGCAAAGTAAAACGTACGAAGAACTCAGTTTATAGGGCAAACAATGATTGCATCAACTCTGCCTAATATCATTCGTTTGCCTTTTAAACTTTCTTCGAAAAATACTTCTATATTCTTTCTAAAAAAAAACGAAATCGATTTTTCATGACAAGATGCACATGTAACAAGGAACGTCTGAGTATGGCTCCTGAAATAAATGTATCAATCAGATAGAAACTGGAACCTTCTGATTTACGGGAACGTGGTAGAATTCAGATAGCGAATATAATTTTCAAATATAACACGCTCCATGCTAATTATGTTCAATCAATGTGAAAGGACATTTTTTTGCAAAGAAAACACCGAAGTTCTTTTCATTGCGTTCTTCAAACGAATATGCACGTCCATCCGGGGAATGTTTATAATAGAAGAATTGTTTTTACAAGGACTTATTTTTTTAAAGAGCTTTGTTTTATGAATGGTTTAACACTAACATGTTAGATGGAAATATTGCTCAGACAGAACTTAAATATAAACAGACACAAAAGTGCTGGAGTTAATTGTTAACATGGAGAGGTACAATCCATTCTGTTTACAACATAAATCTGACTCTAACTGAAAATAGTGCTTTCAGATCAAAACTGCAGCCAGAAAACAGCTGTACACCCATGAATGGTTACATGAAGGAGGTATCTCAATGAAAACGCGATTAATATGATACGAAACTAGCTACTCGGATTTACAGTGAAAACGCAGAAGAGCATCTCGAGCAAGTGAATACTAGAAGAGGATGCGATATTGGTCGAGTATTTATAATTATCAACTAATTGAACCTCGGTAATCGACAATGTAAAATATAGAAAACAATATTTTGAATATACCGAAGCTATTTGAGGCACAGGAAATCATAATCAGACTTAAATGGTTTTATGAGCTAAGGGAGTAGATCTGAGCTCGAACTAAAAGTTATTAAACCAAATATACACTTAACTTTCAAACGTTTTCTAGACTTGATGAATTTATAGTTAGTATCAAAGATATAATACTCAAACTTACGTCTGTTAGTAGTATTCGAATACTGTCAATATGAATATGTGCGGTTCTGTTTAACTATGTCTCTGGCTTGAGAATGATATTTATGCATGTAAGATCTTCGTGTGAGATGGGAAAAGACGAGAGGTAAATATTTTGATAGATTTTCCATGAGATGTGTCTTATTCTATATCATATATGACATGAGACACGATGCCAATTTATAGCGTTATAAACAGTTTTGACAAAGACAGATATAATTATTTCTTGTATACATGATGTTCGTATCTTCTTTTATGTTGGCAGAAAAGTATACCAAAATGTGCAAACAAAGAAGTAGAAGGAAAGCATCAGCGAAGATAAATACTCTAATTTTATCATCAGATACCAAAACTAACAGCTCTTATCGAAATTTGATTATTGTCATTTTAGTTAAAGAATGAACAAATATCACGGAAAAATAGAGAATTATTTTTACTATCAATAGATAAAATTTTAAAAAATCCTTCAATTTGTTATTCAAAAACAGAGTGCTTTCGCCACTTTTTTCGGACTGATTTCAGTTGCATCATTCGTTTTTGTAGAATCAATGAAATCTATCGATGTATCATTGAATGCCAAGTTTTCAAAACTCATTTAACCTTATAAGGCTCCATGGGATGATATGATGGTGTGGGTGGTGAATTAAGTAAGTGAAATACGAACAGTGCCCCTAATTGAGAATGAAATTGGACATACGGAAAAAAACATACACCGTACACTCCTTTGTAAATGTTTTATAATAAGAAAAATGTGCCTGATTTCTTTAAGAGTTTTGATGAAATGTATATTCTAAATGAATTTGAGAAAAAGCTGTAATGATATGAAAGTTTTGTTCTAGAATGTGAAATAAATAAATATTAATAAATGAGCTTTTTCGAGTAAGAAATAAGTAAGAAAAAATTCAGTTTGTTTTAGTGTGAAAACCATTCTGATATAATTGAATTACTACGGTCAGTATTTTATGTATCGTATCAATTATTCGAAAATGCCAAAGAAAAACAATATTTATCTATAATAAGAACTCACATGAGTATCATCATTGTTGCATAGTATTCATTGTTTTGAAGGAACTCGAACAAAGATAATGGACAAAATTTTTCAAGTGCTTACTGCAAATTTATTAGTATTTGAATGAAAAACTTCTATTTTAAAATTCTAATTTTTGTCGTAAAATCTTCACCCAAATTGTAAAATCAGCGTAAACAGTTTTCGTATATATATAATAGGTAGAATACGAACATCGTAGACCTAAAAGTCAATCAATGTTGATTCTACGTAGTCAACTAAAACTTTCTAGTGCTCTTGCAACATGTTTAGCTCACACGTTTTTCCTTTTATCAATGTACGTGATTCATGACATACATGGACAATAAATAGAACTCTAAACGATAGAATAAATTGAATAACTCGTCATATGAGAAAAATTTATGTCGCCGAAGACACCAAGAATCCTGAGGGTGAAATAGAAGAGGATGAGTGGATACGGGTGTATACACAAAGGATAATCATATGGGCACCTATCGACACCCAGACCACAAATATACTAGAGCACAAAGACTACATTTTCCCGAAAAAAGCGCCAATAAAAACGTTTTTTGATCGATGAGATATACTCATAATAAATCTCGATAGCGCACTGTACGAAAAATTTTAAGCACTACTGTCTATCTCGACTCAGTCTTTATTTTTGTAAGATTGCATTGATAAGAACTCATTGTTGAAATTTTCCAGTGGTTGCAAGTTTTATTTTTATATTCGTCTTCGGCACAACCAAGATATGTAATGCCTTACATAAACTTCCTTTATCTTGTATTTTTCCATCATGACAGAGTAGACTGTTTTTATGTAAAAAGAGCAACACACGAATAGATAAGCAGACATATTTCTATTTTAAATATTGCTATACTATTCGCACGATATTCAAAAACAAATCATCAATCAACCACTTGGCTCTGATTTTGGTTTATAATTGTGAATACTTGAGCTCAACTGAGCCAACAGCATATCAACAATGGGGCCAAGAAATGCTAAGTTGGAAAATCAAGAGGTATGGCTCACAAAATAAGATGATTAACCCAAACTTCAGCAATCCGAATCTTCTCTTTTAGTGATTCAGAATCAAAATTTGGTTTTTGTGATACACGAATGTAGATGAATGTTGAAGTGTTAGAGCGAGAAACACGTCCCCTCCTCACAGAGAGCCCCGCATTATAGTTATATGCCTCCTACAAATAGCCCTCCCCGACCTCTTACAGACAAGTATGATGTTTTCAATTTTGGGGAACCCAGGTATATTTTCGAAGAAAATAGTGAGTGTAAGTTTAAAGGTCAAGGTTTCGGAACTCCTCCCCCATCACAGACCTTAGCGACCATGTATAAAATAATGGATATATATATATATATGCAATTATCACAGTTTCATTCGTCATATAATTCGATGATTCTTATAATAAATATGTAAAATTAAAGAAAACAAAATGTTAAAAATGAAAAATACTGAGCGGATATCAACAAGAAAACGAAAAATAAGGGTGCTTACCAGAAAATTTAAAAAATTCGTTATTTTATTCTATCTATATTTTATATCACTATAATGAAGCTGAAGAGTATGCGTGAGTTTCACATTACAGCCTCTTTGGGACTACACGAGTAAGTTTTTTCATCCATGGCATTATTTATTGTAATAATTACTTTTATTTCATTAATTATTTCTATTTTGCGCAACACGATTATAAATGAATGTCGAAGTTTAACTGGAAAAAGTTGCTCCCCTCTCTTCCCTTTACAGGTAGCTTCCCCTTCATCCATCACAAACACACACGCTATTTTCGATTTTTGTATCATGAACTTATGTATTTAAACAATTATTTTGTTAAAATGATTATTTCTGTCGGTAGAACGGCTTTATCGTATTTCACATTTCAATCCCAGAGGATTGCGCTAACAATGTTTTTTTTTGTAGGCAGATACCTGTTGTATCATGTGCTTCAACCCGTTTGGTATACAAGACGAGCGTACACCATATAAATGTATCAACACAAAATGTGGTCGACACTTCTGTGATCAATGTGTAAAATATATTCAAATTTACAATGCCAATGTTCGCCAGTTCCGATGCATGTACTGTTTGAAGGAATATCGAAAAAACCAAGTGCCAATAAAAGATATTTTACTCGCAGAACAGTTATGGAATGAAGCTGTAGTCAACTATGGTATCAAACGGACACGTCAGTTGTTGTCGAATGAATGTCATGCTACTGATTTGAAGTTTGATATCGATTGTAGACAAAGACATTTATCAAATTTAATTAATATTCACAAGCGCTACTCTGATTGGACAGAGTTTCCTGTAACAAGAGTCGAAGCTGAAAATATAGCTGATCAACTGTCAAAAATTGTTAAATATATCAACGAAGAGACAAATGCTCAAATCGATATATGTAAAAGTGTTTATCGAAATAGTATCTCGACACCGGATGATGATAACGATGTTGGTTCGCACTATATTCGACTTTGTGAACGTTTGTTACTTGAAATTACAAATGCGGAATTTCACAGCTTATTTCCAAATACGAATGCCATATTTACCGAATGGATGCATGAACCAGGATCGGATGATAAGTTCCAACCAAAAATTTTCGATTTAATCAAGACGATTGAGCAAGATCTTACAGATTTATGGTCGAGTACTCATTTTAACGTTCGCACCAAAATTGGAGTTGTGGGTTACACAAGTGTTGGGAAAAGTACTCTAGTGAATCGTTTTCTCAATGTGAGCTCCTTAATAGAAAACGAAACAGCTCCAATATCCATCGACAAAAGCACTTACTTTCCATTGCAATTCGACAGAGAAGAACCATTAATTCATCCTGATCATCAAGACCGAAAAACAGCAGTCACATTTGTCGACATTCAAGGTCGTGACAAGAGCAAACTCAATGATCATAGTCAAAGAGAAGCAGATAGATATTTGCATGAAATTTTCAAAGCAGATTGTGATATTTATGTGATCGTATTTGACGACGAGCTTTGTGACGAACAACATAAGTGGATTGTTGACATTGAACAGACGTTACACCGCAAATGTATTTTAGTGAGATCGAAAGTAGACAAATATTATTTGTCGAAATTTTTGGAACTTTCTGAAGTATTCTATGCCCAAAGTACAGTCGAACAGCGTCAGCAGTTGGATTCAATTATCTTACAACAAATCCGACTAAATAATTCGGTCGACAATCGATTCGTTTATCTAGTAGCACAGGACTATCAACCATCGACCAGTGATGCCCAATTGTTACTAAAAAACAATTCGTTTGACATGTTACTATTGCTCTACGAGCTAAGTCGTTTGGCGTTCAATGCTCACAATAGTCGAATTCACTCTTTAGCAAAACGGGCTGTAGCCCGTGTGATCAATATATGCTTCCGTCGTGACTATGTGCTCAATGTACTGAAATATCAGATAGCCGCTGGAATTGGGTCTATCATACCTTTCGGTGAACAGTATCCTCGCTATCTATCACGAGAAGGTATTAGAGATGCGTTCGGCATTGATGATGCTCTTCGTCAATATCTAAACCAGTACAAACTCAAAATTGCTGGATATAAGTTGCAAACGTCAGTGTTCAAAGATTGTGTTAAAGTTCAAGAGTTAGAGACTCACTGGAAATCGAAGGCGAAAATGGTTGGAAAAGCGGTTGACACTACAGCCGTAGCTGGTGGAGCAGCGGCTGCCGATGATATTGTTCGAACGATTGCACCTATTACCACTGCTCTGTCTGGAGCAGCACGCATCGCAGCGACGACTGCTACTCTTGGCATCGCAATAGTCATTTCTGGTGGCGTATGCGCTTGGTCGGCAATCAGTAGTCTTCAACATATTTTCAGTTATGTACAGCGAATATGTGATGATCTCATTCATGTGACCGATCCGTTGATTCACGCCATCATTTTACAATTGGAAGCAGAGGTACCAAACCATACTGTACCAATTCCTGAAAATCATTCTTCTTAGATGAGCACTTTGGAAAAGTAGTTCACTGTTAAGAAATACCGTCTTTTACAGTAAAAATGTTTAATGTAATCATGTAAAACGCTTTATATGAATGAGAGTATGGTTGCGGGTTCGACTGTAAATGTTATTTTAGCGAAAATAGACACTCATGTTCACATTTACACTTGAACACCACCATACATCTACATCTCACACGCCTAATCAATTATGACATTTAACAGATAGGTCTTGTTGATAAAGTATATGCTTTGAGTGTATGATTCTTATTAATTATCAAGTTGTATAAAATTTCAGAAATAAATAAGCGGAAAGTAGTATTTTTATTTAATGCTTAATAGTTTTCTATATCATCTTATTTCTATAAAAATGTTTTTATAGGCTTAACAATATTTTACTAAAATAATTATTGTGTGACAAAATTCAATGTAGTAATTAGTAATGTGATTTAGTTTGTATTAACCATCTTTGAAGGCTATCTCCATTGCAGGCTCCAATAATTGTCATTATTTCATTATTCGGAGAATCTGTAAAGTATTTTGGCTAAATTTCATGAAACTTGATCGGAAATCTTTAGGGGGTGAGTATGGGATCGGTGAGAGAGTTAACAGAAGATGAACACTCGCACACCCATGCACATCTGTATATGTGCACGTGTCGAGTCATGTGAAGAATTATTCATTATATTAAAATAAAATGTAATAATATAATTTGTAATCAAAAGTCTGATAATGAGTTATGAAACATATGGAAACATGTCTGCAATGCAGGAAGATCTTATAAGTGAAGGATTTGAAATACAACAAAAAATACAGCAACATAATTATAATGAAAAAAAAAAACTTCATCAACTTTAAAACGTCACACTACAAATCACAGTCAAATTAATGATGATCAATATACAGATGAATACCAGGATGATGACATGGAATTTTAGCAAATAGATTATAACAGGCAAAGAAAAAAACGAATTAATAAGGAAAACGGCGAACGAATTCATGCACGAATGATAATTAATTCAAATATTAACAATAATAGGAATTCACAAACAAGAACAATAATAACACATAATAATATTATTAAAGATACTTCAATTCGAGTATCCAAGCCCGCATTAGATTATGCATCTGAATATCACCATCAATTGATTAGAATTGCATATGATCCTAAATTAAAAGATCAACGCGAAGGATCAAAATTTATTCAAGCATTCATTAATTACACTAAAATAGATTTTTACAATCAAAACATATCGTATAATAAACCGTGATTGTTTGATCTGTGATAGATTGAGAAAGAGGGAAATATTCGAGCAATTGTTAAATCTACAGAAGTTGCTGTTTATTTATCGCAAGTAAAACGATATCCAACAGAAATAAATAGCATAAAAATAACATCACGTCCACTAGAACACCTTCCATCTCCTTGAATGATATAAAAGATGAATTAAAAACTAAATACAATTCATTATTTTTAATAGAAGAAATTTCGACACCTTAGAGTTGAATTATTAGATAAAAAAAAAGAATATGATGCTCTGTTCATTAGTCGTAAAATATCTATTTTTGAACAATTATATGATGTAGATGAATTCTTACCATTACCGAAACTATTAATATGTTCTAAATATAATCAACCTGGTCATGTAAAAAACTATTGTAAAAGTGCAAATTTTAATATATGTAGACGATGTGGCAATGATCGGAGCAACAATGATAATCACAAAGAATGTAAAATCAACTGTCATCATTGTAAAGGAGATCATATCTCTACGGACTACAAATGTTCATTTATACAAGAATATCGTCGTAGGTTAATAATCGAATTACAAAAACATCCTGATTTTTTATCACCTGATATTCAATTATTTGTTCCATCTGAATATCGGGAACAAGGTGACAGAACCAAAATAATTTTCAATAAATCGGCACAAAACTGTCAACAACGATTTGATCAACAATTGATCTATGACAGAAATTATTTTAATGTATGGTCACAAATATCATCTCATTCTTCAAATACCAACATGGAATCTTTAATAATGAATATTCAGCAAACACTAAAAGATAAAATAAAAGCAATAAACAATGAATTAAATCAATAAAAAAGAATTTTGACGATGAACAACGCAATATAGAGAACAATTATAAACAACACCTAAATACAATCAAACAAGGATGGCTGTTAAAGCAACAGCAAATTGCAACGCAATCTCAAATTTTATCAACAATTAACACTGCAGTTAGTCAGACATTATTCTCCATATGTCAAAAAACAATAAATGTAATGTAAATTACAAACAAGTTTAAATGATTATGATGATATTCTGAATGAAATGACAATACGCAAGAATCCTTCATAAATGATATTCAAGCAATATATCAAAATCATCAGGTTTCACTTGAAAAATTGTTAAATAGACAAAATGAAACACTTGATAATACATTGAATTTATTATCTGAAAACACAAATGGACAGTAAAGATTTCAAATATTCTTCACCTACAGTAAATATAGACTTAACCAATTTTTTTAATGCATTTCAAAAACAGAAGGAAATTCTTCTATCCATGTTTTGTGAATGGAACAACAGAATCACTATCTCAGAGTTGAACAAAAAATGGACAAAAGAAAGAGCAAAACTTTATACTGAAAATTTTACTATTCTTTTATGGAATATTGTGAGGGTCTTGGTACACATCTTGCTGATGGGCGTGGATGTGGGTGTTAATATTCCTTTCGTCCACATTCATATCCTGCATAATTTAACATTAGAAAGAAATATTTTGACTGAGTGTAACTTGATAATAGCAGTGTATCAGATGCTATCAATACCCTGTACTGCATCCATTATTAGCGTTATTTTCATCCACATTGCATACAGCTACTACGATCAACAGTAGCTCAAAAATCAGAATTTTATTCTGCTTATTTGCGTTAAAATCGGGAATTCATTTCTCTGATGTAATTAATATTGCTTCATTGTTGCAAACATACGAAAAATTTGTTGTATATGTGTTGAAATTAGCCTGCCAAATATACTAACGTCTACGCAGCTCAGCTGTTATTGAAAGAAAGTTATGGGTAGTAGGTAAAGTTGTCGATGGATGATTTTATCAAGATCTAACAGCTGCCAATAATATTATAACTCTTTGTAGGATAAAGCATGTCAAAGGCAACAGTGGGCTGATCTTGACTTATTTTTTGTATGTTCTAATGTATTTTTTCAATACATAGTCAAGCAAATAATGAGTTTCTTATTTTTATTTAATTGTGCTCTTCCTTGTGAACGATCTTTTTTATTTATTAGATTTTATAATGGTTAAGTTAAGGTAACAATGTTACCTTCTTCAGACTGTTTTATTTTTATTTAAACATTTATTTACGCACCCACACACCTATTCTTCTTTTCTTTTTAGTTGTTCTCTTATTCAAACTCTGATAGTGGAACACAGAAAGAAAATAAATAATCGACGTATCCTACCAGTTTCGTCGTCTTACCGTCTCACTATCAAAGTTTGAATAAGAGAACAATTAAAAAGAAAAGAAGAAGAAAAAAGAAGAATAGATGTGGGTGCGGGTGTGCAAACAGATGTTTTAATAACAAGAAAACAATCTGAAGAAGGCAACATCGTTACCTAAATTTAACTAATATAAAATCTATTAAATAAAAATTTCAAACAAGTCACACGACGAAAATATTTTCGTGAATTTTAGGCTTCGGGAAAAAATTAACACTGGCTCTGATGTGAATTTTTTGACTCCCCAATCTTGGCCACTTCTTGATAGCCCTGAATGTAATATTGATATGTTTGTCACACCGCGTGTGTTAATTTTATGTGTCACTCAATGGAACTTCGCAAATCGAGGAGTTTCTTCGTGTGTTGCTTTCAGTATGAAAATGATGATGATTGCCAAAACGACACGTACAACATACGATATTACTGGCAAATAATGGAGAACGCTTCGCTTTCTATAGGCGGGGCATCGATTATCGTTCTCTTTCAGGCTAGCATGCGTCTGGCGGATGACCGACAACAAAGTGCGAGTTAGTTTTATGATAGTGATAAGAGCAGTATGATATGGCAGAGTAAAAATTGTCTTCTTTTTCTTCTACTGCTGTTGTAAGACACTGCTTATTTCTCACTAAAGATATCATCACATCCATCATCATGTCAGCTTCACCATTGCGCCCTGAAATCGACTTTTTTTCGCTTTCTGATGTCGACACCGGACAAGAGAAGATGTTAGCACATGTACTAAAGAATAGTGCTAAAGGCAATGTCGACTCGGTGATTAAGGCCATCGATGACTACTGCTGGACGACGAGCTGGATGATGAACGTGGGCGACCGTAAAGGTTTGATTCTCGAGGAGGCCATTCGCAAGCGGCAGCCAAAAACTGTGCTCGAACTAGGTATGTATGTCAGAAACATGTAGCCTGCAAAATCTGTTCTGCAAAACATGATTCGTTTTCCTGTAAGAAGACATCTTTATCTCTCTAAAAAAAACAAGAGAAAAAGCATTACGCCCAGTTTTATACAACGAATATCTAAACTTGATGTTGAAGAGTCCTTTGTTTAGGACAATTATCGCCGTTCTGTCAGCTTGGCACTGAACTTCGGTAGCTTCAGAGGAATTCCATGAGAATATCGAGCATGTTTCTGAGAATCAATGCGCTCGTCAAAATTTAGGTTTTAGATTTAATATGAGCATTTGAATCTCTTTGTTCGTGCTTATCTATTTCTCCATCGACATCGACAGCAATAACAATTGTATTGATTGTGCACTGAATTTCGGTTTTGAACGCAACGATCGTATTTCCATAAAATATGTTCGCTTGACCACGCTGATTCGAGCGACAGTTTGTAACTGTGCTAGTGCGCCGTTGTCAGGATCTCTCTCGGGTTATTCTTTGACAGTAAAAAAATTCAGCAAAAGAAGAAAAAAGAAGAGTAAAAACCAATAACAATAACAACACGATCACAGAGGTCAGATACTGACAAAGCTTCAGAAAAAATCAGTAACGCATTTGATTTATGACCATATCCTGATAATTACTAGCTAGATATTTTCGATTACAAATGCTGGTCAAACCATGGACTTCTCATGAAGCATCCTCGTTTTGACGTATAGACAGTTATCTTGTGTCCGAAGAAAAAGTATGTAATTTACTCAATGGTGAATCATAAACATTTCACAAGCGTTGGAAAGCCGTTTATTCGCTTTACTAGAATACATAACCTGTGTTGTGGCCTCATGGTGTACTTGTAGGAAAAAACCTTGGGTACACTTAAAAACTCACTAAAATATTTTCGGAATAAAATGCTTTTCTTGTATTTTCCCCCTTTTTAAATTGGTAAGGAAAATTTCAGAATATTCAATCCAATTGAATTACAACTTAAACGCCGTATGCGCTCTATTTCATCATCATATGATCGAAGTATTTTGCTAATTTTGGAAGTACCAAGCATTTCCCTTCTCGCATTTCAGGCACCTTCTGTGGTTACTCGTCCCTTCGTATCGTCTCCCAGCTGCCTGGCGACGCCCGCTTCATCACCATTGAAATGAATCCATTATCGGCTGCTATCGCCGCTCAACTGCACGAACATGCTGGTGTCACCAGCCGCATTACTTGCATAGTCGGCTCAACAGATAACGTAATTCCTACGTTGTCTGAGCAATTTGCCATTCAGTCGTTTGACCTGATCTTTATCGATCACTGGAAAGAAGTCTACCTGAGAGACCTACAACTACTTGAACAGATGAAGCTTATTGCTAGTGGAACGGTTGTCGTCGCTGATAATGTTATAACACCAGGTGCACCCGACTACTTAGCCTATATTCGAAACAATCCTAACTATGAATCGATCTTTCACGAGGCCATGCTGGAATATACCGATACCCATAAAGACGGAGTAGAAATATCAATTAGAAAATAAATCAAAACATTCTTTCTAAAGAAAAATTAAACGTTAATAAAAACAACGAGTGAAAGATGCTTAGATAAACTTTGAAGTGTATTGATACTCTTCTATAAATTTTCAAAACGTGTTTTAGGAGAATAAATTTATTATTCGTCGAATTCATATTATGATGTAAGATACCGGCAAATTAGTTGGCATGGATCAAAGAATACATTTGATTTATTTGGAAGCTACAGTCAAATGAATAATTTTTTCATTAGATGACCTATGGAAAAAAATCCACTGAAATCTGCGTTTGAACGCGTTTTAATCATTGAATATGTATTGTATAGAAATGGAATGTCTATATACAGTGGGTATCAACATTGATCAAGCACCTCATTGATTTTTGTTTTTCTGTTCATATCGTGGGTGTGGGTATAGACTATAGTTTGTGTGTTTATCACGTCTGGACATATTTTCACATTAGCACCAACACCCACGCCTTTCATTCGATAAACCAGGTTTACCGAAGCCAATCAACGCAGCTGTACCAGGTACCATGATTTTTTTATTTATATTTTTAACCAAAAGAGCTCTATCTTAATAAAATAGATCAATCCTTGCAGAAATGTCATATGAGTGTATACAAGAAATTACAAGAATAGACTATTGAACATATATTTTTATCGAGATTATCTTTATATGATTTATCTATTGATAGCGGTTTTATTAGAATTCATTAGTTTTAATAAAAGTTTATTCTAAAGCGAATAGTATTGAAACTAAGACTATCTATTCGAAAAGCAATATACTCTTTTTCAATAAAGCTAGAGCACATCACTCATTCAGAAACGCTGACTACATTATAGTATTTTCCGCAAGACTACATAAGAGTGATAAAAAGTCGATTTTCAATGGATCAAACTGCAAAAAGATGATTTCGTCTGATTATGAGACAAAGAATTTAAATGGACCTTTGCTTTTTTACATTGACTATTGCCGATTTTCTTACTGAGGATCAAGTCGAGTTTAGTCATAGTTAAAATAATAGTCAGTGATATTTGACAGTTTTTATTTGTTTTCCGATTATAATCGATTAGAAGTCAAATGATTTTGAATCGCTTTTTCTCATCATTTATTTTTTACAAGCATACATCGCAGCTCTTGTCAGGATTCCAGCGAAAAAAATGATTTGCAAACGACATCCCGCTCGGGATTTATCAGGACACAGCGATGCATGTTTACCAGCGATATAATAAACTCTTGTGACTTATATCTGATAGTTCAATTTGTAAGCGAAAGCCAAATAAGTGAATTCAGATAAAACTTCTGTTGAACTAGGGTGTGCGTGTGTGGGTGTGTGGGTGTGCCAGATAACATCCACACCCACACCCTAACGAGGGAACGTTCCCAAGTGATTCGCACCATTTCGATTCATCTTTTTCTGGTTTGTAGGGCTCATCATATATATGACCGGCCATACAAGCCAGCAAAAGATGAATCGAAATGGTGCGAATCACTTGAGAATGTTTCCTCGTAAGGTATGTAATTATTATTCATGTCGGCAAATGTAGCCAAGCACAAATATTCGAGTGTTGACGATGATTAAAGCTTCACATGATGTGTGTTTGCTTTTTTGCCTCGATAGAACAAAAGTAAGAGAACCATTCTTGAACTTGATACAGAGAGAATTGTATATGATAAAGGCTTTAGCCTTAGTACAGACATGAGAAGCATGGTTTTTATCAGAAACATAACGCCTCTGCAGATAGCTATGTGCGCGTGCAGTCACTCGAAATTAAAATGTATACCTTTATGTTGCTTTTATTTGTTGATGCACATGCGCGCAAATTCCATTTTAGTGACATTGAAGTGGTTTCGCAAAACAATTAGCTGAAGCAACAAAACGTGAAAGCATATATGCCAATCGATTGTCGTTTTTTCTTCATCATTCAGTTTTCTTCGCTGATGAACATACACACCGTCAATCATGTTTGTATGTATAATACTAGTGGCAGTTTTTGCCACAATCGCTGTTGACATCCGAGGGCAGTCAATCGTGGGGTTTACGACTGGTAGAAGTGATAGCCCATGTGCAGGATACTGCGACGGTACTGTTCTTATCCAGCCATCAACCATCTCTACATGGGAGAGTAGCACGGCGACTAAAAGCGCATTTCCTGAAATCCAACAGCAATACAATGTCAATTCTATTGATTTCACTGAATTGAATGCACGGGTAGGTAACCTTTCAGCCTGGCAAGCATTGCCTATAACGATTGGATGTCTGAGCTGTGATGGTCAAGGTTTCGAATTCCTGGGTATTCTCACCGACAATCAGTTAAAGTACAGCGTTATGTTTGAGTACAATTCAACAATACCGGCTTTGAATCATTTGTCAGTCTGGCCCGAGCCATTCGTGAACAATACATCCCTTCAGGTGGTGCCTCCACGTGTACGTGTACAAATCAAAATGCAATTGCAGACTGATGAATAAAATTCATTTAAAATAAAAGCATGCTCTTTCTGCTCCTTGTTATGTTCTATCACAAAAATAAAATGGCTTTCACTACTTGCCTCCGATACTGGTGTTTCAGTTAGAGTGTGGTTGTGCGTGCGTAGGAAGAGAAGATCTACACCCACACCCCTTTTTACATTGAATCAATTTGCTGCTCTCGCAATTGTCAGAAGGAAGTCAGCTAGTAAAAGTGGTATGAAGAGAGGCCTTTGTTTGACATAATATATACGCACGTTTCATCTATTCTCTTCTATAAAAGCAACAAATTCATTTTCAATGCCATCATCTGAATCAAGACAAATGTGGAGAGCAATAGATGGTGACAGTGCCATCGTAGAGCAGGCATTTTATCATTCGTTCGTCATGCCACCGCAATTATTTTAACAGATAGACGAAAGTGGTTAGGATGTGGGTGTGGGTGTAAATGTGAGAGTATTTTGTCCAGTCACCCACACCCACACCCTCATTTAGATATTTTTAAATTTACATTCAACTATATGCATAAAAATAATGATGGTAATAATATTCAGGATAAATTTATTCGATTTCAAAATGATTTGTGGCTTGGGAAACATTGGTTTACTGAATATGAATTATCAAACTATTCGGCAACTATTTATACCATACCTTATATGTTCAATTCTTATGATTTTCAATTAGATACTCAGAGATATTCGCATCAATTGGTGAATACATTTGATAATGCGAAAATTTTAACATTATATCATGCAACATTGAAAGACCCATGTCTATGCTATTTTTCAAATGTTACTTCATTAACAATACTTCCGTCGGAGCAGTATTTTAAGCCTAGATTAGGAACACAAGATATCAGATCTTTGAAAAAGATCATTAATTTTTCTAATCTAAAACATATTGGTATTTCAGTTAAATTTAGATTAAAAGAACCGTCAATATTATTGAGATTATTACGAGACTTACAACAATTATCATCAATAGTGATTAGCATTCGCGCTTTAGAAGCATTTTCATATGATACAGACTTATGTCAATATTTAAATAAAACGATTAAAAAATTGGACATATACAAATACGGTTTCTGTTCATTTAAAACTCATTACCAACTCGAGGAATTTTGTAAAACGTTTTCAAATGTTGAAGAATTGAAGTGTAATATTGATCGAATGACTGATTTGTTATTTTTATTAAAACACTTATCAAAGTTAACTAATTTAAAAGGTTATCTATGGTCGGTAAATGATTATGATTATTTTCATTCATGGTTTAAAAAACAAACATGCAAATTAAATATATTATTTGATATGAAGTATATGGATAAAAAAGAAACAGAACTATCTATTTAGATTAATAGAAATATAAACTGATCGCTCATTGTGATAGCTGATTGATATTAGATTTTTAGAAAAAAAATTTCTTGAAAAAACAAATTTTTTGTATTTACTTTATTAAAGGTGTGGACATCGTGGTGTATGAGCTTGAATGTAGGCTCATTTGAGTGGGTTTAGGTATTCTAGTCCTCGACACTTTCTCAAGATTCAACGACGCTCATCTTTTTGGTAATTGTTTAGAACAATAACTTGATAATAACCCATGTCATGAAAGCTTTTGTGCTTTTGTTCTATAGTAAATAAAGTCTCTAAGAAAAACAAATGATAACTTCATTCAATGACATTCAATTACTCACGATAGTCGTTTTTATCTAGTGTTATTGCACAACGTCAAATGAAATTCATCTTAAATAAAAATTCTAAATTATAAGAGAATGCAGTCCGAAGGCTGATGGGTTATCAATTGTCTTTGCAAACCCTCCATTAGTCATTCCCATGACCGTTTTCTTTTGTTTTTAATATTGTTAATCATTATGTTGATTTAAATCTCTCATCAGACCGAACATTCATGACGATTATCAGTGAAAAATTATTTTCTGGTAGTACTGAGCAACAATGATCGAGAATCACCTGCTACAAAGGTAATATTCGGCTACTTGATTCACATGTGTGTAAATAATAATTCAAGTTAGAATATTTATGAATAATTATCTCAATAGTTTTTCACTCCATTGACATACTGTTTGCATATTTATTAGCGATGATCTCATCTTACGCTTGAAAATTCAAATAGAACATGACAATCTATGATAATTTATAGTAGTTGTTGTCTGACTTGAAAAAAAGGAGGAAAGTTTTTAATACGAAAGCAGATCTGAATAAACTCTATCAAGAAAAAAGAACGATTGCGAAGTTTCTGCCTTAGGAACCGGGTATATGCAGACTATTAAGAAAAGATTTTCTCCATTGAGCTAGGGTGTATGTTGGCAGTAGGTATGCAATGGGCTTCGTGCCCTACATTATTTTGTTGCTGTTTTTAACAATCAATTATTTTCAAAATGTTGAGTAAACATTGTTTCAGAAATACTTTTGAAATATGTATGGCATATCGCTCCAAATATTATCTAAATAAGTTAAATATAAGGGTGTATCATCTCACATTGCAACATGCCACAATTTTATTTTTTACTAAATATAAACTTTGTATTCAATTTGATGTGTCGACATTCAAATTTACTTGATGATCTTGAAAAATGACTTGACTTTCTGTTAGCAAAATTCAGTCGACAAAAAAATCCGAATTCTATCATATTGGATAATTTAAAACTGTTCGATTCATTAGAAAAACAGCAAATCTTACAATTCAACTAATAGTTCCATGTAATCATCTACTGAAAGCTTCTATGTTAAATCGCATTTCGAATTTAAAAAGATTATTTTTATTTGAATCGATAATTAAATTAATGAAAAATATAGAACTTCAGAGACCATTTCGATGGACGAGGAGAATGGTAGGAAAATCTAAAACTATTTATATTTATTTATCAATAAAAATTACATTCAGTTTCTTTCCGATGTAGTTGCGACAAAATGGTACGCTTAAAATAAAAAGATTTGTGACCTCGTCAAGGGTATGGGCGTTGATGAAGGAATGCCTACACCCTCAAGATAGGCCTATTCGCCTGATCTAATTTAATATGAACGAATCAAACCGGACTACAGTTTCAAAATTCACCTGGTCTGGCCGCTCTGTCAAGTACAGTCATTTGTAACAATTGGCATTTAATAACAGTGTATTTAGCTTTTTGATGTTTCACTTGGCGTGTACATACATGAACTGAATGATTCGCGTTATAGTAAAAATAAAGCATTTTCTTTATTTCATCTTTATATAATGTTTCATTATGTGTGAACATCGCTATGGCTTAAAAAAACGAAACGAAAATTTTTCTGTCTTACTTAAGTCACAAAATAACTTTCTATTTCTTTTTTCCTCTTTCTGTGTGGCATATTCTTCTTCTTCTGTCTATGTATATGTCGGAGTTGGCTCTAAAATCCAATTGCCTTTAAAATTTTATAGTCAACTAGGATGGAGCTAGTTTACTCTTCAATTTTAAAGACAACTAGTTGACATTAAAATCAACTGGGTGGAGTTAGTGGGTATGGGTGTAGTTATTTGCTTAATTCGCACGTCCACCCACACCTTCAGCATGTAAGAATTGCTAGATGTTTTTTGCATCTATTACTAATGGATCCAAGAATTTCTTGTTGGCTATAGTTATGTTTTTCTCCAATGTTTATTTCTTTGTCTAAACATCCTCTATTGGATAAAATGTTATTTATCATATAAATAACACCTTATGATTATACATTTTAAAGTCAACTAGCTCGATCCAGTTGATTTTAATGTCAACTAGTTGTCTTTAAAATTGAAGAGTCAACTAGTTCTATCCTAGTTGACTCTTCAATTTTAAAGTCAAGTAGTTGCCTTTAAAAGGCAACTGGATTTTAGAGTCAACTCCGACATATATATATATATATATATGCTTCTCCACCTCCCATGTTCATTTGTATCTGATGTGATTCGCTGAGCAGCTACAAAAATGTAATGCTCCAAAGATGTAAAGTGTGTTTCATAAATTTCGGCCCTATTTTTATTTTATTTTTACTCTTTTCAAATGTAAACAGGGATTGACTGTATATTTTTTTAAGACCTGTGTATAGGCTATCATCCAAGAGCAATTGCAACGAATTTGCATTAACTTCAAGAAAGCGCTACATCGCTGAAAATATTGAAAAAAATTGTCAATCCTTTTCTTATATTCTGTATTATAACGGATTGAGCAGAATGAATGGTCGCGTTTTGTATTTCAATTTTTAATCACTTAATACAGTGCATTGAAAAAAACAATAGGTATCACAAGATTCAGCGTGAGAAGCTCTACTATTTATAAAGGATAGCTTACTTTATATATATGTTTCAGGCAGAATTGAGTTTTAGGCAAAATTAAGCCACACTTTTTTTAAATTTCAATTTAATATAGCATCGAGTGAAAAAATAAAAAGACTGTCAACGATAAATAGAGTTTCTAAGACACAAAGTGAATTAAAACTTAAAAATATAAGTTTTAATAGTTGAATGGGTATCGGCAAGATACATCGTATATGCTTGAAGAGGATGCACAGTTAGGTATCTTTCCATAATGAGAACGATATCTTGTTTCGGAAGATGCAGAGTTCGCTATAGTGCGGGAAAAAAACTAACTTCAATCTAAGATATAGATTTTGATATAGGCTATACTTCAAATAGTATTAGTGATCGAAGACGTAATTCTTTATGCAGTATCCAGCTTTTCAAAGTCTGATTGTTCAAAAAAAAGACACTTGTTCTTTTAGGCTAATCTTGTATTCCTGATAGTAATGATACAGTTTCTTAATTTTTTAAAATGCCAAAGAGCATGTATGATTGTTTACAAAAAATGATATAGTAGGTGCCGATAGGTTCAATTACTGAAACGATGAAGTGATAATAAATTTATAAACCTGTTCTAGAGTTATATTATCTAATTTTCAAGGAGATTATTGTTGTGCTAACTTTAGTAAATTTAGAAGAATCAATTCAATTTTTCTTTTTTTATTAAAAACCTTGCAAATCTTAAGTTCGATCTTATTGCTAGTACAAAGCAAAAAGAGATAATCCGTAAAAATTTTACGGTATATAATATCAGTTAGCAGCCACTATATGTGAAATGTTGAACGCGACAGTGATTATAATGCGAGAACAAGGATCATCTTATGTACAACTAAAAATAGTATTGAAAAGAAAAACGTTTTTTTTAAATTTTACTAGATTGGTTCCTTTTCAATTAATATAATTTTTTTCAAATTTATGAAATCAAAACAAAAATTTCTCATATATTATTTAATGAAATGATTATATATCATTTCAACTTTGTCGATGTTTCTCAATGCACATGATAATTAAAAATCATTTTTAAATAAAATAAGCATTTCTCTCTATATGCCCGGCCGAAAAAGACGAAAAACGAGAAAAGAAATTTTTTTATTTAATTTTTTTAAAATTTAATGCGGATGATTCACGATAATTATTAAATCAGCATAAAAATTATGGATATGTTATTAAAAGTAAATGCTTGTGTAACAATTAAAAATTTTTCGGCGATTCGGAATGAGTATTAAAAATCATTTATAAATATAAATCAAATAAACAATTCTCTCAAATTTTGCGTCTAATTAAAAAACGAATTTTGCCAGTGACAAATGTATAATCCCAATGCTTATACTAAAACATTACCAACGAATACTCGTCTTGGTCGAGTAATGCATGTGCCTCATCAAGCTGATTCATTTCCATTGCCCGATGCCGTTAATTCGTTATTATCATTCCATCACTGTTATTAACAGCATTGAAATTCAATCAGTTCTATTTAGATCACGGGAAATCATTGATAAATTGACTAATAGTATTATTGATTCTGATGAAAGAAGACAAATTCGTGCTATTCTCCAACAACACGCGAAATTGTTCGATATATCACAAGTTACACAAGCAAATACACCCATTCAACACACGATTAATGCCGGTGATAGTCTCCCAATTAGTTCTCGACCATATTCACGAACAATCTAACAACGATCTAATCTTCAAAATGAAATTCATAAAATGTTACAAGCACATCAAATTCGACCTTCTAATTCGCCATGGTCATCTCCAGTTATTATTCATAAAAAGAAAGATGGTGGTATTCGTTTTTTGGTCGACTACCGGAAGCTCAATGCTGTGACAAAAAAGGATTGCTTTCCTCAACCAACAACTGAAGAACTATTAAATCGTTTAGGAAGCCGCAAATTTAATACAAAACTAGATCTTAAATCAGGTTATTTTCAAATTCCCATTCATGAAGCTGATAAAGAAAAAAACAGCTTTTATCACGTAAGATGGTTTATGGGAATTCAATGTTCTTCCACAAGGTATTACAAACGGACCACCAACTTTTCAACGAACTATGCACAATCTGATCGGTTATGGACGCTGGGATTACGTCATAGTGTATTTAGATGATATATTACTTTTTTCCACCACTTTTGATGAATATGTTCAACACGTAAATGAAATTTTATCCGTGCTAGATAAAGCAAATTTTCAAGTTAATCCTGATAAATGCAATATTGCTGTTCGTGAAGTTAATTTTTTAAGTCATATCACCAACGAAAAATTAATAAAACCTAATGGTGAAAAAATCAAAGCTATCACTGATTTACCAGCTCCGACAACACTCAATGAAGCAAATGAATTCTTAGGAAAAATCAATTGGCATCGAAAATTTATTCCAAATTCTGCTCATATTGCTGCTCCGTTACATAAAGTTACTAATAATATCAACGCGCATCGACATGAATTTACATGGGGCCCTGAATAACAAGCTGCTTCTAATGAATTCAAAAAACTTTTAACCACATATCCATTGTTTTTAGAATATCCAGATGTATCAACTCCATTTGTACTAACAACTGATGCATCTGAGATTGGTATTGGTGGTATCTTACGGCAAGATATCACAACTGGCACAACAATTAATTATTTTAAATCACGTGCATTGGACGATACTGAACGCAAATATGATACAATTGAAAGGGAGGCGTTGGCTATTTACTGGTGTCTTACAGACCTTCGATCATATATTGGTGATTCTGGCATTGTAATTAAAACTAATCATGAACCACTTCCGAATTTTCATATAAAACAAATTAATAATAAACGTATTATGAATTGGATTTTTAAATTACAAGATATTTTACCACAAATAATTGCCGTCAAATACCGTAACGGTTCTAATAACATAGCTGCTGATTACATTTCGCGTCCCTTTCCGTCTTCAAATGTGATCAATAATTCTACAATTCTCGCTGAACAAACCGATGACTGGCCTGTTGGTACTGAACAATGGTTCGAAGACTTGCCAAAACCTCAACGATTAAGATTCGCTACATCATTCATCAACACAACCAATTCAACAATTAATGCTGTTACCACCCGGGCAAAAGCTAAACTTATTACTCAATCAGTTCCACCTACATCTGCTGAACCCTCAACCACCACACCACCATTTTCAGCTCCATCTTCAACATCAGATTATCTACCTTTTGATTTCAGTCTATCACATATACGTTTTGAACAAGAACAAGACCCGGTGATTCAACAAATAATTCAGAACTTTTATCATAAATCAGATAAGCGAAACTTTATTCTAAAAAACAATGTTCTCTATAAATTAGTTTCTCGTGGACTAACCAATATCAAAGTAATTTATGCCCCATCAAAACTTATCCCTGAAATACTTCAATCACATCACGATCATCCTTTAAGTGGACATTTTGGCGTTGAACGTACCTGGTTTCTGTTAAAAAATAAGTACTATTGGCCACATATGAGAACAACCATTACATCTTATATAAAATCCTGTGAGCAATGTTCGAAATACAACGTTGATCGTCATAAACCCCCTGGAGTTTTACAACCAATTGAACCACCAGCCGACGTTTTTCAAATATTGGGCATGGATTGGTGGGGACCTGCTCAAACTTCGATTAATGGAAATCGATACATATTGGTTATAACAGATCGATTATCCGGTTACGTTTTTGCTACAGCATCACCAACAAATACTGCTCAAGATACGGCCCGTATTCTACTTGAAGAAGTAATACTAGTTCATGGATCTCCTGATATCGTTATTACGGACCAAGGAACGCATTTCAACAATGAATTACTACAATCTATTACTAATTTAATCGGTTGCAAACATATTTTTTCAACACCATACCATCCACAAACCAACGGACAAACTGAACGCTGGAATTCAACATTTGTTACACAACTTGCTAAATTTTGTAATGATGATCACAATAATTGGGATACTTATTTACCATCTATTGTTTATGCTTACAATAATAGTGTTCATCACTCTAGTGGATTTACTCCTTATCAACTAGCATTTGGTCGAAGACCACATCATCCGTTTGATCCTGCCCGATCAACCTTTTATTTAAAAAAACCGCACGATTATTGGGCACAAATCATTAAATATCGTAGTATCGCATTAAAACAAGCAAAAGACAATATCATACATCAACAGCTCTTGTCAAAACAACGATTCGATAAAAATCGATCACACCCGATATATCACATCAATGACCTCGTTTGGATGAAAATATTTTCGAATAGAACTAAATTTGATGCTCGATATACTGGCCCTGTTCGAATCGTTCGAGTCCTTTCTCCAGTTTCATATATTGTTGAGGATCCAGACCTCCGGCAGTTTCAAGTACACTCGAACAATATCAAACGTGTTTATCCTCGTTAGTATGTCACGCTTTGACTAATTTTTTATCATAACATTCAATCAGGCCTACGTACATAATCACACGTCGTTTTTTTCTGAAATTCCGTTATTCTCAATATGTATGAATTTCAGTCATTTATACTTCCATAACAAAAACAACATAGCATCCAAATTTTCTTTTTATGATTCTTTGCTACGCTTATTCGCTCCATTACATTCTGTTCGTCAATCGGCTTACGTCTGTCGCTTATTACATTTTTTTCTCTTCTTGCTCTCCATCTTTTTACTTTTAATCGTTTCGTGAATCTTTTATGTTTTTTTCTCGTTTACGCTTAGTTACATCTATACTTACTCTTCAGTAAGACTCTTTTGTAGGGAGGGGGGACGTGTTATGTCAGGAGATGTCTCTCATGACATAAGAATGCCATCTCTATGCTGATATAATCGTCTCACATTGGATTATAACTGTTCTGTTATTCGTCTAATNTTCACGATAATTTTTGTTCTTACACTCATTTTCACTTGAAAAATTGTGAGAATCAATGATTTCATGCAAAAATTATTTTTAAAACAGCAATATCGCAACTTTCGTGAATGGTGGAACTGTGAGGGAACCTATAGTTGATTTCCATTTCCTCTAGGAGTTATCACAGAGGCACTGACAATTTCTCGACACATTAGGAATTTCTATTTCTCAGTCCTTGGACACTGCTGACACTCGCACGCACGCACGCACACCCTCAAGTTGGTAGCTTCGGAGCTGAAGAGGCTTCTGTCATTTTACATAGAAATATTGATCGAAGAACAAGGAATCTGTAATGATGGTGAGACGCTTTTTTCCTTCTTGATGCAAAGAAAGTTACCTCGCATTCGAACGGTAGAAATAACAAAGATTGTTTCTTTTTCTGTAAAGTTGGATGTCACTATTGATTTTACGTTTGCCACAGAACCTCATTGTGAAATTTGAAAAATGAAAGGTAAGCAATGACTGCAAAATCTTGTATTGATACAATCATCTTTTGCCGCTGCATCATGGTATTGATCATTCGATCTATAGTGGCTGGTGATATCAAAGGGCTATCATTTAGGCGGCCAATAGAATAAATAAATGATCAGGACATTATTTGTGTGGTCAATTATTAATATACTTCGACTTTATTGATATATTTAAAAATCAATGAATTAGATTAAAGGATTAGTATAAAAGTTGAAATGTGTTATAAGATGATTTACTTTTTTTTCATGTTTGTTCTTTTGGTCTCTATATATTGTACAGCTGATAAGTACCACATGTATAAATGTACTCTTAGCTTCTTTCTTTCGCATTCAGCTTAGTACCAACGAGTAAAAAAGATGGAAGTCGTACAAGTTGCTCAATATGAAAGTGATATATCAGGGGAAGAGGTTCTGGAAGGAAATGATGGAATAAATGGAAATCAAAGAATTTCAAAAAAGGGTGTGGGGTAGTGTAGATGAGCAGAATAATCACACCTACACGCAAATTTCTATGTTTTACTGGTCAATTTTGATCTTTTTTACTGGTAATTATATATCCTAAACTGATCACGTTAAGATTAATTACTGATCATTTTAGTGCTGATCATTCAATATTTATACTGATCATTCATATTCTTTTTTACTGATCATTTCATTTATTTTACTGATCAAATATAATGTTCCCATATCAAAGCATATTTTCTGTCAAGATAACGTGTCAGAATATATTCTTCAGGCAAGATTTTAGTTAAAAGGTGATGAGGTGTGGGTTTGCGTGGGTATGTGAGCGTGACAGATAACACCCACATCCACACCCTTTTCAGACATGAATCTGTGAAAATCTAAGCTTGAGCTTTTCTAGTATGTCAGATTTTTGGAAATCTCATGGGAAATCTTTACAGAAATAGTGTATTCTATCGTTCACTACGCCATGCAAAAAGGATTATTGTAGTGGGTGTGGCTATATAAAAAAATTTGAGCGAAGTTAATTACTTTAAAAGTTTCAAAGTACTTCCTAAATTACAATTGGAGAGCAGTTGGTTTAAACACTTGAAATCTGTATGTGGCAGTAGAGTTTAGAATCTAGTTGAGATTGTATGTAATTGTTGATTATTGTATAAATGTTGTGAAAAGTGGTACATAAAAAAAAAATTTTGTTAGTGAGTAATGTGAGATAGTTTGATTGAGTATGTTGATTAAAACAAAAAGTTTCTGTTTCCAACATTAATTGTGTCTATTTTTCCTAATTGAAGAGAGAAAAACGGCAAAGGTTCTGAGTAGATGCTTATGTTTTAATGCTCGGGACATTGGGACATAGGGACATTGATTTTTCTCTTTATATATTCGAAAAAAAAGAAAGAGATTTTCGCTATCGTTATTTCGAAGTACGGGTCTCCACAAGGGGGGAAAAACTCATTCCGAGCCATTCGAATGGCTAGGAATGGCTTTCAATTAATCGCTATGAATTAGTGTCTTAACATAGTTCAAACTATGCAAAAACTTTAAAATTCATTAAAAACATGATTATCTCTATCATTGGCGTACCAGCGTCTCATATGGAGGTGTGGCAATAAAAATGATGTCTATCTTTTTAAACAGAAAGCCATGTTTTTACTGTAATATATCTATATATACGGATACATATATACCACTGATCATTTTTCAGGTGCGTCCAGCGGCGACTCAGCCCAGCCCCCAAAGATCTCGCGAGCGTCCAAAAATTGCGGGCGTGTAGGCAACCTATAAAATTCTAATTCAGGTATGGTGTTGCCAGATCTTCCGATTTTGTGAGTTTTTCGCGAGCTGCTTTTTTGATTTTCGACTTGGATATCTGGCAACACTGGTTGAAACGTTAAATTGCAAACAAGAATGCATATTAATATATAAAGTACATTTTCTAAAAGCTCGCTAGGGAGCTAAGTTCACCCTGGCTCCATCACTGGGTGTGGCAATTGCCACCAATTGCCTCGTGGTGGCCCGGCAATGATTGCTATTGTCAAAGTGCTCTGACTAAAGGAAGCCTGTTGAAAACAGTATAATCGATTTCCAATATGTATCAGACTTTATTCATCTTCATCACATTATGTTGTTACTGGCACACATGAACATTTGCCATATTCATAATTACAAGTAATTACTAACAAGGAGATCCATCATTATATTGATAAAATAATATTTTAATAGAAGCAATTCACGATGGAGCCTCCCAAGCTGATCCTCATAGATTCCAATGAATTTTTGTTCATGGATACGGCACTATGTTCTTTAGTGAAAGCATTGCACTATTTTTCAGTGCGTAGCGCTTTCTTCAAAAGGTATACGCATTTTTCAGATTTTTTTCCTTTTCTTTGAGTTATCAGAAAGTGAAATAAACAAATTTTGATTCGCAAATTTGTTAATAAATATACAGACTAAACACTAAACACTATGAAAATGTTAGCAATAATAAATATGCTCTTTTAAATATATTCCTTCAAAAAAGCTCGATTGTTTAGTGTTTTTGAAAAAAGAGCCTATTCTTCAAAAAGTGTGTATATTTCGAAGAACACATTTGCTATTGCTAAAATTTTCATGGTATCTTAGTGTTCAATCGGCCTGCGTATTAACAAAATTTCTGAGCAAAATCCTATTATTTCACTTTCTGGTAATTCAAAAAAAAAAGAAAATCTGAAAAATGAGCATAATTTTTCAAGAAAGTGCTATGCATTCCAAGTCTTTTGATGTTTTCACTATAACACATCGTGTAGTATCATGGACGAAAATTCATTGGAATCCGTGGGGTTCACCTTGGGAAACTCACTATAGTCAGTACTTTCACAAAAATATACTCTTTCGATATAATATGCATACATAGATATATTAGTTATTGGAAAGAGTAAAATAGACAAAGTGTTTAGAAAATTGATGCCAATCATAATGGAAAACAGATAGTAAAGAATTCCACTGGTCGCTCAGTTAGGTGACTGTTTAAATAATACTAGTAAATGTATCTTTTTTTTCGAATTTACTGGATACTATTGAAATCAAATTGAATGTAAAACATTTATGTAACTAATCTGCTTTATATGATTTTTCTTATCCTTGAAAGTTACTTGAATATTATAGAAAAATAGTCATTCAGTATGTACAAATGGGGATGATTTAGAATAATTCGGAATCCCGGATATCACAGGCTGCCAAGGTTAAATGAGAGCAAGACTTTCAATGGCTTAAGTAATTGATCAGAGGATTCTTACAAAATTAGTCAGAATTAAGGAGTCCCCAGTTTTTTTTGAAAATTGATCATGAAAAAGATACAATCACTTTGGTCAAAAAAAACAAAATGTTTTTTCGGGATCTAGAAATCGAATCCCTGTTGTACGTTTAGAGTAAAAGTACTCAACATCTCAAATGATTTTTTTCCGTTTCATCCATATTTTTTATGTAATTAAATTCGGATAAAGCGTAGTTTTCAATCAATGAAAATCTATTGATTTTCAATGGTTAATACCACTACTTGTGAATATGCGTTAACTAAGTTTAACATTATGTAAATTGACTTCAATGAAAAGCTATAACCTTTAGAAAATGACAAGGCTCTAAAGGCAGATACAGTAATTTATGAAAAATAACACTACATGAGAGTAGGGGTGGACCATTTACATTATTTAGAATTAAGTTCAATATCATAAATTACAAATATGATGTGTTAAGCAGAAATACATCCGAAGTTTCATGTTAATGTTAACTGATACTACTTCAAAGTCTCATTTAGAAAATGATCCATCCCTATTTGAGAAAATTTTAGAATAGCTAGGAATATATTGGAATGGTTGCGGATGGATAGGAATGGCTGGGAATGCCAGAATGAGTTTTTTCCCCTTGGATCTCGAGCAGCTGGGATGGGAATGGGAAAAGTTTTTAATTCGAATGATATGGAAGGAGGAAAGTAACTGTTTTTTTAATATTTTTAATGAAATTAATAAAGAAGTTTCTTATGTGAGTAGTGGATTTGATGTGTCATTATCAACAATTGTTCTTCGTTA